ATGTTCACAGCTGAGGCTGTACAACACAGCTACAGCTTAGGGAATGCCATCACTTGTTTACATTTATTCCAATTGTTACCAAAAAGTAACAGGCGGAAAAGAAAAGTGAAGTCAAGGCAGCCTTTTGAGCCAACACTGGAGAGTAGGCAAGCTAGCATTATCCCTATTTACCATGTACCCAACACCAATTATTTGTAATTATAGCAAAAACAAATTTAAAGCTGGATTCCTCACCAATAAAAAGAATGACAAAAATTCCAAGTTCTGGCATTTAGTCTGTACTGATATCTCTATAAACCGTTTTCACAATACATATTTTCTGTCTCTAAAAATAATTCTGCACTGAGTAGAAGAAATCATCTTGTTAACATCACATAAAATCCCACCTTTTTTTGTAGTTCTTCATTTTTTTGTGTGTTCTGGAATTCTAGTTCTTCAACCTTCCTTCTAAGTACTAATAATTTCCCACGGTTAGCTGCAGCATTTTCCTGTTCACCATCTCTAGATACCTATATACAAATAGGGAGATTTTAGCCAAACAAAAGATTTCACAACTCAACTAATTCAGACTATACTAGTAGAAAAACTGTCAACCTACTTATGAGACTGACCACAGTTGCTGGATGGACCTGCATTATATCCTGTACAAACAGTAAGTCCATACATATCTTCTGGTAAGCACAACCCTCACACCCAAGAAAAAACAGAACAGGAAAGGGAAGTTGAAAGAAGGGGCAAAAGGGTTCTTGTGAAAGTATATTTAAACTATTCTGAAGCGAAACATTACTACCTGGAATTCTGTAAAAAAAACAGTGCTAGATAACTAATTTCTACACATAAGTTACTATTTACAATCACAAAACATGCATCTACAAATCTGAAAACTTAATTATATGCTTTACAAACAAGGACCAGTAATCTTCACAGATCATAATTATATTAGTAGGTTAACTATTAACTTTCCAAAGCATACTCTGGCTGGCAGACATGCATAAAATCTATTAGCCCTTGGAAGTTATATCCAATCTAAGCATAGTTTTCTAAAACAGAAAAAATCTATAACGGATTAATACAACTCTTTTATAAGTTGCATATATACAATTTTACCAATGTGCTGTTTTAGAAATACTTACCTCTCTCTATATATAAGTTTTCTTGTGGGTCAACACAGTGACATCATGTCGCTCTGTCCTGCCACCCACTTCTGCCCTCAGCCACGTGGCCTCCTCTCTCCTTCCCTGATGCCCCTCTCTGTCCCCTCTTTCCTTTCCCAGTTCTCCTGCAGCCTCTGTTCATTCCTCCTGAATTCCTGCTCTCCCCTTCAGTTCCTCCCTTCTCAATAACCCTGCGTTCCTTCAGCTCATGGCACGCACCTCTCTTGGCAGCCTGCTGCGGAGTGGGTGGGCTTGGCATTAGCATCATTTCCTGGCTGCCTCAGTGGGACCCCACACTGCAGCTTTCGGGGTGGGAGCGAGAAGCACGGGGACCCAGTCCCTAGTAATGGCTGCAGTACTGCCTCTCCAGCGCATCCTGTGGCAGTCACACTGCCTAGTTCCCTCCCACCTAAGATGGCAAAGAGCCTTCCTGAGCATGAGCGGATCCTGCAGGAGATCGAGAGCATGGACACTGCCTGTGTGGGGCCCACCCAGTGGTAAGGGGCTGGGGTTGGGCAGAGACTCAGCTTGACGAATTAGTGGGAGGGTACGGTGTGTGTAGGGAGAAAGGAAGGGGAATAGGGTGTATGTGGAGATGGATGGTGAGGTGAGGGGGACATAGGAATGGAGGCAGGGAACAAGCAATGTGGGAGTGTGGAGGGGAAGAGTTTAGCGAAGGATGGGGATGGACTGTGGGCCATGGGGTTCTGGGATTATCCCACTGGGCTCTCTTCCTGCGTGATCCAAATCTGGTTCTCAATAGGGTGTGGGCGCGTAAAGCTGAGGGCTCCCTCATGGTTCCATGCCTCCCCATTGTGCCATGTCTGCACGGAGCATGTCCCAGTCCTGCGGTGGAGACTTGCTTGCCAGCTGGAAGGGCATATCTGGAGTGCTGGCACCATGCAAAGATGGGCAGTAACTGGGCACAGAGAGCGGGGAATTCTCGGCCTACCTGGCCGCTCGCATGTAACCCAGCCTCTGCTCTTCACTAGTGAGCTGGGTGCCCAGGAACACCCAGAACAAAGGGGATTCATTGGAGTTGGGCCCTGTTTTACTGATTGTGTTTGGTTTTAGGTTACACACGAAGCCCACGAGTCTGCAGAGCATAGCCGTTCCCTGTGCTATCTGCAAGGAGAGACTCTGAACTCTGCACACAAGCAAACTATTTTATTGGCAGATGGGGCAGGAGTTAAAAGGGTGTGGGGTGGAGGGGGGCTGGCTGGCGAGTGAAGGGCTCAAGTGAGCAAGATGGGCAAGAGGGTTTGGATAGAGGGGTCTATCCAGGGGTTTGGTGGGGCGGGCGTGGAGAAGGGCATGAGTGACTTGGGGCAATGAACAGCACAGCCGGGCTCAGTGCAAGATTAACAGGCTCTCTGGTGTTAAAGAGGCCAGTGAAAGAGGGGTTGGCAAGCATAGCAAGCAGGGAGGGCAGCCCCCTGGTATATTTTTAAAACATTTTTAAACCCATGTTTATGGTAAAACTTCATATACTGAAATGAAATAGTCTTATTAATTTAATTTGTCAGCTATATATTTTTCACATTTGGCCTTTGATAATAAAAGCTGACTAGTCCCCTTCACTTTTGAAAAGGAAACTTTAAGAAAATAACTACTTTCTAGTTCTCCTGAGTTAGCAGGATGCAGAAAAATGTGAGTTGCAAACATCCAAAGCAATTTATTAAAAATAAATTGTGGCCATTCCAGTTGGAATGGAATGCCCATGGAAATATTTCTTAACTTTTGTAAAAAAAAAAATATAAAAAAGTGGATGGGTGGATGAATATACAAGATATGGAAACACGCATGCGCACACACATACACACACACCCCATCTTAATTTGACCCAAACAGGTAATCTCAGATCCTGGATTTTAAAAGCAGATCCTGGAACCGTAGTAAACTAAAGTCTAACTTTCAAAACTGAAGTGCAAACTCACTCTCTTTTTTTGCTCTGCTTTTTTGTCTTGCTCTTCTGATCCTGATAATTTCTTCTTAAGTTCTTCTAGTTGTGAGGTTAGCGATGTCACCTTGGCTTTGTTTTGAAGCTTTACTTTGGAAAGCCTGGCTTCAGAAGCTTCTTTTTCTTCCTACCAATGTATATAAATTATAAATAATCATTGATATAAAACAGTTACCAAGAACTCCTATCTCTACAAGGACACTTTAGCTTCAATCCCAGAAACTCTGAACCTGTAAAGCACCCTGATAACATTTCTTTCATTACTACAGAGTATCTTCACTGAGCTACAACAATACTCACAGATACTGAAACTTACGGGGCAGCATCACACTAAAAATTATATGCTAAAGAAATTTCCCTTTCGTTTGTTAGTAATACTACTTCAAGCTCTAAGCTTTCCAATGTAAATAGTGAGTTGTATTGCCTTAGTTTTCAGATGCCCCACTATGAACACCTACAGGACCTATTTTTGTAAGGCAGGTAACTCAGCAGTTACACTGTCTCAGCTTTTTACTCAGCTGGGACAATGTAACTGGGATGAGGTGCTCCACTTACTCTATAACAAACTAAATATTACACTAATCACGGTGGTCTGATATAAATAAAAAAAATCATTGATTTAAATCAAGTTACCAAAAAAACTAAGACAGGCTATGCTTAGAGTGTACTTAATTTCGGAATAAGCCCCACTGAACTCACTGGCAGTTTTGTTTTTTGAGAAAACAAGTATATAGAATGGGGTTCCCTTGGAAAAACTGAGTTATGCTGAGGTAAAATGGCAGCACCATTATGGTCTGTGGCCATGATGTTCCAAACTAAGGGCATGTATGATGTAATTTAAAATAAGAAAATGACACTCAGTGGCAACTAGCAACTCTAGAGTTCTCTTACTGCAGCCTTCTGTATTGTATACTTTAGTGATTGATTCTAAACCTAGTCAACTAATTAAACAAGCCATTCGGATTAACTAAAATAAACTTTTTTTTCGTGCAACATCCAACACAGTGAACAGGTTGGGAATTTACTTGTCAAACACTTATACTAAAAGGCATAAGAGAGAGTCTTGAAGCATGATGCATTGCTAAGTGAATTTTTTAAGTTTTTAACCAGTTGATCCACTCAGCCAAATCCACATCTTCATCTACATCAGTGAAGGGGAATTTCAGGCCCGGGGGCTAGATGCGGCCCTGCAAAGCTCAGTGCCACCCCCAGCATTGAGAAGCCAGTGCTGAGTGAATTTTTTAAGTTTTTAACCAGTTGATCCACTCAGCCAAATCCACATCTTCATCTACATCAGTGAAGGGGAATTTCAGGCCCGGGGGCTAGATGCGGCCCTGCAAAGGAGGCCCATAGGCTCTGGTGTGTGAGAAGAATGCGGGGAGTGTCTTTTTCCTTCTCAGTCAGGGGCCATGTTTTGGGCTTTTTTTTTCCCCCTTCACTTGTGTGCGGCCCCCTGTGGGCCAGTGGCCCCCAACCCAAAAAAGGTTACTCACCCCAGTATACATCATTTTCTCCCAATAAGCAGTTTTCCTTATGATGTTTCATTCTTGCAACTAGGTGTTGCATCGACTTCATACACTGGACATGTTTTTTCTATTTTACACAGGCAACAAATTTCTTCAAAATATTCCCAGATAAGGTTCCACTTTTTCCTATATATTGTGTCTCTATCTTTAAAACAATGTCTTCACTAATTCCTGTCCTGTGCTTGGCCAAGGTCCACCACCACATAAGCACAGAACAAAAATAACCCCATCCAGTTTGTGTCTTTCTTGGCTTTTATCCATCCTGACACTAATATTATGCATGCTGGTCACTTATTTGCATCTGTGGTCAGCCACATTTAGGGTATGTCTGGACTACAAGGCTCCATCGACGGAGAAATGTAGATGAGTTTACTAGACATAGGAAAATGAAGTGGCGATTTAAATAATTGCCTCTTCATTTACATCAAAATGGCCGCCACGCTGTGCCAATCAGCTGTTTGGCGGCATAGTGCAGTAGTCTGGACGCGCTGCGGTTGACAAGGGAAGCCTTTGTTGACCGCTCCGGTAAATCTCATTTCACGAGGCATAACAGAGCAGTTGACAAGGGCTTCCCTTGTCGACTGCGACGCGTCCAGACTACCACGACTGCACTATGCCGCCAAACAGCTGATTGGCACAGCGTGGCGGCCATTTTGATGTAAATGAAGAGGCAATTATTTAAATCGCCACTTCATTTTCCTATGTCTAGTAAACTCATCTACATGGCTCCGTCGACAGAGCCATGTAGTCTATACGTAACCTTAGAGTCACAACACTGTAGTAGAATGTTTAATTAAAAATAGTTTGGTTTGGTTTAAAAAATCTTTGTTCTATGTAAAGGCCATATACTAACTTATTTTTAGATTAAAATGAAAATGTCCCATTAAAAAAGAAGGGTAAAAACACAGCTTTCAAGAACTTTCTACAAATATGATCTCTAACAGAAGAAATCAATGATAAAACCCCCTCAAATTCAATAGAGCATTTACTTATGGGCAAAAATCAAGGATGATATGCAATATAGGTTGCACCTGTATAAATCGGAAGTCTCTGGTCTGGCCATATCTGTGGCGTGCTGTGCGCAGAGCCGTCTTATCCATTAGGCACAGTAGGCAAAGTGCCTAGGGCCCACAATACTTTTAGGGGCCCACAAAAATGTTTTAATTTCTTTTAAAATCAGAAGAAAAAAAATGAACTTTTAGGGTCGAAGAAAATGTTTTAATTTTTTTCTCACATCAGAAAAAAATGAGACTTTTAGGGCCCACGAAAATCTATTAAATTTTGCCTAAAACAGAAAAAAAATGTTGAAGTATTTAAAGTTATATCAAAAATAATTTTTAATAATTTTTTTTATGGAGGAAGGGGCCCACGAAGGCAAAAGTGCCTAGGGTCCACGAAAGTCATAAATCGCCGCTTCATTTAAATTTACATGGCTGCTGATCAGCTGTTTGTCGGCTCAGCGCGATAGTCTGGACGCACGGGTGTCGACATCAAAGGTATTTGTCGACCACCCAGGTAAACCTCATCCCAGGAGGCAGCCATGTAAATTTAAATGAAGCGGCGATTATTTAAATCGCCGCTTCATTTTCCTATGTCTGGTAGCCTAATCTACATGCCTCTGGCGACAGAGGCATGTAGTCTAGACGTACCCTAAATGTCAAACAATAATGTGGACAAATACTAGCATAAAAGGATGGGGGAAAAAACCAACCCTGTACAGCTTTGCAAAACCTTTAATTTACAAATGATACTTGTTCCCCACATTTATCAAGAACATCTATTATTTCTTAGGGACCATTCCCTGCCTGTGTAATACCCAAAGCTGGTTATAATTCCAGCAACACAAGGTAAATTGACAGGAAGTTGTAATGTGTCCCCATGCATCTGCACTGCTTCCTTAATCCCTAAGACTGACATAACTGACTCGTACACCTGTTTTTAGGAAAAAGAGCTTATTTGCCCCAGAAAACATGACAGCGATTCATTTTCATCTGTACCTGAACAGTCACATTTATGTATGTACACAGTACCTTTAACTGCTGATCTCTATTTCGAAGTTCATTATCCTTCTCTCTGATAAGTTCTTTAAGCTGTGTTACCAGCTGTTCAGTTCGTGTCAGCTGTTCAGTCAAATCAGCCACTGACATGTTTGCTGCATCTTGCGAGCCATGAACCTACAGACATTAAGCATACTTTTGAACAGACAAAATGGTGCACACAATGGTGGCTGTGCATAAATCACAGTCATCTGCTTTTCAACCAACCCAATTAAATTTAGGCACAGTGTAGTATTTCCCCCTTTTTAAAACTGAACCATACTGTCTAGACAGATTCAGGATAATTTGTCAAATATGCTCAACAAAAGAGGCACTGAAATGAAACTTTGATAACTGAAATCTCTAGCACAGATTGGTCTCTTCGGTGCAAACTACATTACAATACAATGGGAACACTATGCTGATATAAACTGACATGATAAAGCAATCCCTATTTGTTTTTCCCCTCTCTGTATGCATGGCTGTCTTTACAATCTGAACACTACAGAGCACTGTCCCTAAACGTCTGGAAAGCAGCTAGCACATTGTAGGTACTACCATAAACAACACATTTCTCTCATTTCTAGTCAATTCCACTGAAAAATTAGAGTATCAGAGGGGTAGCCGTGTTAGTCTGAATCTGCAAAAGCAACGAGCACTTCAATCTTCCTGGACACACAATTGCAGATCTAAAAGTAGCCATCCTGCAGCAAAAAAACTTCAGGACCAGACTTCAAAGAGAAACTGCTGAGCTACAGTTCATCTTTAAGTTTGACACAATCAACTCTGGATTAAACAAAGACTGTGAATGGCTTGCTAACTACAAAAGCAGCTTCTATTCTCTTGGAATTCACACCTCCAGATCAGCTGCTAGAAGTGAGCCTCATCCTCCTTGATTGGATCCACCTGGTCATCTCCAGCCTGATCCTGGCCTGCATATTTATTCCTGCCTCTGGAAATTTCCACTACATGCATCTGACGAAGTGGGTCTTTGCCCACGAAAGCTTATGCTCCTACACTTCAGTTAGTCTATAAGGTGCCACAGGACTCCTCATCGCTAATGTAACCTTGTATCCAATAAAAAACTTAGTGGTTACAGATTGCGGGTTCTGCAGAAGGGCTGGCAGCCGGGAGGTGGTGTGTGACGGAAGCTGGCTTATGCTGGCCCCGCTTCTGGGGAGCCAGCTGCTGCCCTGCGTTACAGACCCTGATACAGAGCCAGCAGTGCAGGGCATCAGCCAGCTCTCCAGGAGCAGGGCTGGAAGATGGTGTGTAACCGTAATAGAAACTATTTAAACGGTAACACACTTGTATATTTAATTTTAACTAGAACAGATGCAGAGAAAAACTATTGGAAGGATCAAGGGACTAGAAGTCTACTGTACGAGAGGAGCTGAAGAGCTTTACCCAATCAGTTGAGCAAAAAGCAGGCTGAGAGGAGATATGATTGCTTTTTATATTGGGAGGTAAATATCATGGAGGGTGAAGAGCTATTAGAGCAACCTCAACAGAAGTGTGATCAATTTCCAAATAAAGGCATGACAGCAGAAGTCTAGGCTGTGGAAGTCAGGGCAAGGCTTAAGGGAGAGTTCTTGAAAATATCCAAGAAATCTATACCACCCAATGATTTTAAAACAATCAACTTAAAAAAAAATAAGGGGAGAACTGGCAATTTCTCTTTCTCACCACAAAAAATCCCCAAAAATGAGGTGACACAAATTATAGCATTAGTTTCTTTGCTTGTGTTGCTTTTAGAAACATTCCTTTTGTAGAGAGATGGAAAATGGTATACAAAGACTTTTACTCATTATGAAGAGATGAATAAGTAACATTCAGTTAAATTAATTTTAGATAGTATACATGGCAGGGCTTTCAGCAGAAAATAGACAAATTCCTCCAATTACAAGCTATAAGATTCATGCAATTAAATATAATAATCTGGAAAATGTCAAAATTATTCAAAGCCTTGAGAGTCTGCATATTAAAGCTAATACTGATGTTTAAATTCTCAGTACCATTTTAATTCTTGAGGTCCTCCGCTGCTGCTAATGTAATTAATGATGTATACAGCCAAGTGTCAGCTCATAAAATAGGGAATGATCTAATGTTTACATGGCTTCTGTTGATCTTTTCTTAACTCAAGACAAACAGGTTGAAGGTGATCAGTATAGTTGCAGCTAGACTCCGAAGATTAAAGCTAACTGGAAAGGAAGCATGAAGTTTTATGACTTTTGAAACTATCTTAGAAGAACAGGTTATGCAGGTTAAACAATCCTTACAAAACAGCAAATACTTATTACCACATCTTGAATTGAAATTTTTCTAAATTTATAAGTTTTTTAAAAAAGTCAGCACTCAAAAAAACAAACAAAAAAACTCCATAACCACTTGTAACACTTACTGCTTTGTTAGGGGACGCATCATCTCCTGTGCCCCATTTCCACATAGTTTCAAGATGACTGTGAGAAAGAATGAGGAAATACAATTATATTGCTACGAACATTAGTGCCACCTAGAAAACTATATTCATAAAAAGTATGTTTTCTGGTAATGTTTTTTTCTCCAGGCCTTTCAGTTCAAGGTAATTCAAGCTAATTTGATATTGTTTTTTTTAAACAGTATCTCTCTGCATTTGCTGAAACTTTTGATGCCCGAGTCACTTTATGAGTTGCTATTGATTATCAACAAAGTCCCGTTTAATTTTTTTGTACAATATGTTACTTCTGCAGGCTGGGAAGCAGTAAAGTACCAATGCTGACTTTGTCAGTATAATTTCCTAAAATATTTGGAACTATAATCTTAAAAATGTAAGTACCTTAAAGTAGTTTTTGGCACAAGTTCTTCCAACTACAAATAAGAAGTACAGAATGTACTCAGTTTGTTAACATATACCCTGTCCTTAGGCACAAGCTGTACTTGCCTCTTAAGTATGACAAAGATTATGCCAGAGCATATTTCTACAAAATTAACAGATTGTTGTTCACAAAAATAAACATACTATGGCATATCACACTGTACAACAGCTGAGCATCTCTCACTCATATACCAAAGAGCCTAAAACTTGATAAGGGCACAGACTAGGAAATGCAAGTGCTCGCACCTCTCTGGTTCAGATCCAAATATAAGTTTTCAAAGGACTTGACACCTAAATATAAGCAATTATCAAATTTAGTAGCCAACTTGATACCATGCAGCTTTTGGGCTAATCTCACAGTACAGGCAGCTCAAATGTAAATGTATGAACTAAGAACATCTGGCTCAGCTGACAGAAAATTTAGTTAACTCTTCAAGAGAGGCCTGTACAAAAGTCTCATAGTTGGTTTGATGGCATGCATTCAGAATACTACCATACATCCTGCTGTACTTCTGACATTAGCCAGTCTTCAAGTTGAAACGAGAGGCCAACCTGCATCTTTGTCCAGTCACCCATCCCCACAAGCAACAATTTCAAACCACAGCAAGGCAGCTGTGCTTCTGCATCAGCAGAACAGTTTATTAAAAATACTGGCACATACTTTATCTGAAAGGAAATGAATGAGAGCACAGATGGTTATTACAGCTGAATATTTACCAATGCTGAGCTAGAAGCTAGGATCACAGTGTTATACAAGAATCATTAGAGTCTCTCCTGGTTTTAAAAACCTGGGACTCACAGAGGAAAGGGAATGTAGATATTACTTTTTTTTAAAACTCTCCTTCATTCATCCATTTGGGTCAATTTTGCCCTCAACACCACCCATGCATTCCAAGTAACAGGAAAGGGTATAATGAGGGCAGAATCTGGATCATTTAGTGTAGCTTGGGACTGTGTACATTTTTTAAATTTGTAAATGCTTTAGAACCCAAAAGCATTAGCTAATGCAACGTGTTTAGTTCGCTACATACAACACCCCCCTGGATACCCTGAGCAATATTTTTGACACATTATTTATATTAGGGATCTTAACAAAGGAGCTTTCAAGAAAGGAAAGTGTTCTGAAACAAGTTGGGCAGCACAGCTGCCAGAAGAAATTCCATTTAGGAGCATAAGCATCTAGTTTGTAAGAACTGAACCCTTTGGAATCAAATTATGGCACACACAACTCAATCCTTTCTCCTTTCAAATTACAGTAGTTAAATTAGAGCTCAATTTAGTTTACCATGTGTGTATTCTTCAAATGTGATTTTAACTACCACAGGCCTGTCTGCTAGGCAAGATAATTATCCAATGGCCTTAGTAACCATTCCTCAAGTTATAAAAGTTCTGATTTCCTATCTTTCCATATCAATTCCAAACTCTTCAAACTCATTTTCAAACCTCCAGTACAGCATCTCAGTTCTTATCTTCTCACCTCAAGCACTCTGCTTTGATGACATCTTGCACCACGCACTACTTTCCATTATTCCACGAATGCCTCTTCTCCACTATAGGAGACTGGTGAAAGCCCATACAAACCATAACATATCTTGGGAAGATATTAAAGAGCTCCTTTGCATCAATAAAGCCTTTGAGATATCATGTTGTTCTCCACTGAGCTATGGCAGAAGTATGACTATGATTGAGTGATTACTGTAGCATACACTATAGGAGGAAGGAGCAGAAAGGAACAATTGCTAATGAGGATCCCAATTTTACACTCACGAGTGACACTATTCACATATATATAGTGTCACTCATATTTGTAAAACCATCCCAATCCTAAATATAATTTACAGAAATAGCTTTATATGAATGTGAATAGACAGTTAATTGACCTCAAGGGACTGTCAAGTAATTATATGCTTATCTCTGGCTCTGCTCCTTGGCTGCGTCTACACTGGCACGTTATTCTGGAAAATCAGCTGCTTTTCCGGAAAAACTTGCCAGCTGTCTACACTGGCCGCAAAAGCACTGACGAGCTAATGTAAAATCATCAGTGCTTTTCCGGAAATACTATGCTGCTCCCGTTCAGGCAAAAGTCTTTTTCCGGAAAACTGTTCTGGAAAAGGGCCAGTATAGACAGCACAGTAGTGTTTTCCGCAAAAAAGCCCCGATCGCGAAAATGACGATCAAGGCTTTTTGGCGGAAAAGCACGTCTAGATTGGCCACGGACACTTTTCCGGAAAAAGTGCTTTTCCGGAAAAGCGTCCTACCAATCTAGACGCGCTTTTCCGAAAATGCTTTTAACGGAAAACTTTTCCGTTAAAAGCATTTCCGGAAAATCATGCCAGAGAAGACGTAGCCCTTAAGAATAAGGATGGTAAAAAATGCTGGCATACAGGTGACTCTCCTTTCTATTACATTAATAGATGATCTCTCCCCATTCATGAGTCAGGGCACAGTAGCACCCTATGTGCAGTGGTGGAATTTTTAAGACACTAATAAATGTTTAATTAAAAAAAAATTTATACTTGTGTAAATTTATACTTAAATGTGCAAATACACATTTTAATAGCTTATCTGTTCACTGCCATATCATGAGCTCTTGCACAAGAGCAGTGTGGACGCTCAGCAGGGATTTCTTGCGCAAGAAAGCCCTATGGCTAAAATAGCCATCAGAGCTTTCTTGCACAAGAGAGCGTCCATACTGCCATGGGCACTCTTGTGCAAAAGCGTAGCTCACACATGCTACTGTGGACATTTTCTTGCACAAGAACCCCTGCACAAGATGGTCTTGCGCAAGTGTAGACAGAGCCCAGGGGTCTCAAACTCCTGGCCTGTAGGTCAGTCCCAGCTGGAGCGATTGCGCAATACAGCATAGCACTTCTCACAGATGGTTCATAGATGGCGGGGTAGCTCCATGTTAACAGTCCCAAAGCCTTGCCCTTCCCACCAATACCCTGCTCTCTCCACCCCATGGCACCCCACCCCCATGAGGAGCAGGAGGGAGCATGACCATTGCTGCCAAATGGCATCAGCCCCTGTCCCTCCTCCCTTCCCCCCATGATTCCAAATGCCACATGCTCAGGGGATGGTTACTATGAGAGAGGGAGCAATGATGGGAAGAGGCAGTACTCTGGGGCATTAGGGACCCCTGGGTTACTCAAATATTTCCTACATGAAACACATATGGAGCATTAATCAGATGTATCTGAGACCGTAGAGAACTAGAAACACAGGATATCTCCATACAGCTGGAGCTTCATCCTTAAATACGCTAAAGTAATGGAAAGTTACGCAGTGTGTACGTTATCCAACATACATTATTTGTAAGTCAAGATTTAATCTTAAATGCCAAATTGCTTTTGTCCTTAATGAGAATGGTCATGGGAAGGCAGAAGTTCTAAGAAATCTACATACTGTATTAAACACTATAAAACTGTCTTTAATATATAAATAGGATTTCAGAATGAAATTTCAACCTTAAGCTAAGAAAGAGTTTTTGGTCACAGAACAAAGATTTACAAAGAGAAATAGTGATGTTTTATTCAAAAGTTACTTTTGATAGTTTTGCATAACTTATTGTTGTGAAAGAAGGATTATAAGGCAGAAAGAACATGTAAGCTTACTACGTGAAAACAGGGAAGATAATTATTCAAACTGGTCCTATTAGACTACACATACACATTTGACTTTAAGCCTATTATAAATTGCAGGTACACCCTAAATTAATGTAACTGAAAAAATAGAACACTTTCCACTTATAGTATGAAGTTTAGAGTGGTCAGTAGTGAGTTTTATTTCTCCAGTTTAGTAACTCCATTTTCATTGTCCATACTGGATTTTCACAAACCAGCAGGGAAAAATATATTTTTTTAAAAATAATAAAATTGTAAAGCCACGGTGAAATCAGATGGATGTGTAGTGCCTAAATTATTTATTTTCCTTTAAACCCCTGACAATCCTGAAGCGTCTCTTTAAATTATACTAGAAACATACTGAGTGGATATTACTGCATGTGAATAGAAATACATTTTTCTAACTTCTCCCATTTTCACCCTAGCTTCCCATTTAAGTTTTTCTATGACAAAGATGTAGCCTTAATTATAGTTCTGGAATATGTGCATGATATGAGAGCTCAAAATCCTCAAATGGGCACCACTCCACTTTGAACTCTATAATCTGTGAATCAACTGTCTCCACCCATCTATAAATCCTTCTTTAGTTCCACCTCTTTCTACTGGAAATAATTTTTTCTCTGCTTTCTTTTTATGTCATTAACAAATAAAAACTAGCAAAGACTTGAATTAAGTCCAAATTCTGCAATTTAAGCCATTACTGGCCAGGTTCAGAGATTCTCCCCAGGTATGCAGGTTTATGATTTATTTAGATTTTAATCTAAGAGAAATTCCACTTGCTGTCTCCCTTCCCTCAATATACCCAAATACTTCCTTTTCCTATGCTACACTAGGCATGCCCCAGAAATCAAGGGGTGATGGGTTCAAATTACACATCTCATAAATATTTCCTACTCAATCGTAACTACTCCACAGTCCAGGGAGATCACTGTAGCTCTAGCGTAAGCCCATAACCTGTCCCAGGCAGTAGGCGCATTACAGTGCCACCCTCTCCCCAGCTGGGTTTCCAGGGTACATGGCCGTGCCCGGGGGAGGAAGGGGTATCTCTCAAAGCCGATGTGAACCTAGGCCAGGCCGTACTGAAGTCGCTTGTCCCAGCACCGGCCAGTGACCTTGCCCGAGCACCACAGAGCAACGCGACAAGCGTGTCCCGAGTTATCAGGCCGA